AGAAATCGGAGAAATATTGGCACGAATGGAGATAATATTTCCACCATCATTTTTCACTATCATGGTACATTTGGTCTGTCATTTAGCTGAGGAGGTAAAACTGGCAGGGCCGATTCATTATCGATGGATGTACCCTATTGAGAGGTATGCGTTTCTTTTGATCATGTTAAGGGTGAATCATGTTATAAATTGAGTTATGTCTACCATTTTACATTATAAAAGAGACTTAAGGAAAAGAAAATTGATTATATATAAAAGAAAACTCTTACCTTTTTGGATGCCTTTACCGTTTCTAATCTATTGATATTGTATGCTCTTTCACTGTTGTTCCCCGCTCTTCACTAGTTGAGTAAACTTATTAATCTTTTTATCGTTATTTCAATCAACATCATTCATTTAAAAAACCATCAAAGTTTCCACTAAACTGAAGATCCAACTTTTTTTCCTCTGGATAAATTACAATAGAATATTAGTCCAATCTCACCAAGTGCATTAATGGATATGACATGAGCTCTACATACTTACCAAATAAGTAACGGATTCCTAAAACTGAATTTGCTTCATGATACTGTTATTCAACTTTGCTAAGATGATATCCATTAACTCCTTTAAATTATGGAGGTTTTACGTGGTTAATGTAAATTCTTATTGTACCATTGTACTATTTTTATAGTCTGTAATGTGATTTGAATATTCTCAACTCAGGTACTTGATGACACTGAAAGCTCATGTTAGAAATAGAAACTATCCTGAAGCTTCGATTGCTGAATGGTATATTGCAAACGAATCTATCGAATACTGTTCTAGATATTTCACAGGTGTCAACACAAGATTTAATAGAGTGCCTAGAAATTATGATGGAGAGGATCATGTGCAAATAGAAGATAGTCCAGTAATGACAATACCCGGTCGTTCCATTGGCAAAGTGAATGATGTCGTACTTGATCCTAAAACATGGATTCAAGCACATAGGTATGTGTTGTACAATTCAACAAAAGAGGTTCAAAAATTCATCAAGTAAGTAGCATTTTTCTCTAGCATCTGTCCTTTTCATATGAGGTTGTCTTATGTTTCTGCTAATCTAAAACTTATTTGATTGATAGAGAGCATCGAGACATAATTAAAGGAGGACATATAGGGAAAGGTCGCAAGAGAGATCGTTCTGCCCATGAAATTGAACAAACACATCACCCAAAGTTTGTAGACTGGTTCAAAAATAAAGTGAGACCCACTTTTCTTCAACATTGATTTTGTGCATAGATAAAGTATTTATGTATGCGAAATGAATGTTTAATATGAAATTGACCTAACTACAATTTCTTTCAGGTATCTGAATTAGAAGCAAATCATGATCCTCTAGCTACTGATCATGTAAGATGGCTAGCTCGGGGCCCGTATAGAGTGGCAAGACAATTCCATAGCTATATCACTAAAGGATTTAGATTCCGTACAAAAGCGCGTGAAAAAAAGAAGAAAACACAGAACAGTGGTGTTTCCGTGGCATCACATACCTCACAGTTAGATGGTGATACAATTTATTATGGTCGGGTGGTTGATATGATTGAGTTAAACTATTATGAAAGGTTCAAAGTAGTTTTATTCAAGTGTGAATGGGCAGATGTTGAAAAGGGAAAAGGCGTTATGAAAGATCGGTTCGGATACACATTAGTGAGCTTTTCAAAGTTGATTCACACAGGATCTCATGTGGCAGATGAGCCTTTTGTTTTTGCATCTCGGGTTGAGCCTATATTCTATGTTGAAGACTCACAAAAACCAGGATGGTGTGTCGCTTTACGGACAAAACCTCGGGATACATATGACATGCGTGATGAAGTGGATCCTCACCAACCTCATATTGATATATCATATCGGTCAACTTCAACAGCAGACTTCCCTATTCAAGAAGAAGAAAATTGGAATCGCAAGGATGTTTCTAGTAGACGTCAAAAGTAGCAATGTCCGAAGAATAATTATGAACTTGTGAGTTTTTTTATGTTTTCCTTCTTCATTGATTATAGAAATGAGCTGATAATTAGTATGTTATATCTGGTTTCCTTTTTCCTCTCCAATCTGGTTGGCTGCTGCTGGGACGTTTCTTTTTCAGGGTCTGCTCGATTGTGGCTTCAAATCCACAGTGTCAGCCTCTCTGATTTTGGTTTGTTGCTGCTGGGTTGTTTTTTCCTTGCTTGGCTCCTCTCTGACCCTCTGAGACAGTCCGTTCCTTTTCATTCGTTATTCTCTCCCTATAGTGTTGCCTTCTTTGTTGTTGCTTGCAGTCGGGGCTGCTTGTCTCTTTTTTGTTTGTTCTTTCTGTATTTTCATGGCTGTTTATTTAATAAATGAGGTCACCATTTCAAAAGAATTAAGTATTTTCAATTGGTTGGTTTTGACGAGAGAATTTGTCATCTGGTCTCTTGCTTTTTCTTTTGGTGGTTACTTCAGGATTTCCAACTGTTGACTTTTAGCTGAGTCTGGTTTCGGAACTTGTTTGTTTAGAATGATTATTGCGATTAAGGATTACACTTTGCTAGGTTAGTAATTTTTTTAGTGCAAATGTTTTTTGTCAAAATGGTATCATTCGCTCATTCTCTGTCGTCCAACAATTATCATGATCTATTTTTCTCTTAAGCCATAGTATATACAATTAGTTTACCACCATTTAGATATGAGCTTTCCACACCTCTTTTTGTAATATGGTTCTTTCCATTAGAAAGATTTTTGCTGAATTAGACAAATATGTAAAGAGAAAGAACGTACTTTTTGCTGAATCATCTCGTAGATGGATCAACAGTGGCTCTTTGACTGATTGGTTACACGAAAATGGTATTGGTGGTGTGAACTTGTGTTATAAAGAGTCATACGGAATCCAAATGAAAATGAAATTCCTTTGTCCTAAATGATAGGATCACTTGTTTATTTCTTTCAATGTGACATGCATATGATATCTACAAGCAGATCCATACCGCAACCAATTAGATGGTGTGTGGTCTTACTTCCCATTGTTTTTTAAGTCTGTTATCTGTTGTGGTAGTCTATTTTGATTCTGAATTAAGAAAAAGTGAGAATCTAAGCATATTTCAGTGTTGAGGAAGTAGAGGAAGTTTACAATTCTGGATTCTCCATACTCTAGAAGTTAAGAGCCATCTTTCATCCCGTATAATCTGCTCATCTAGGTTGTACACTCTGGTTTGAACCTGGTCTGTTCCTTCTCTTGAGTTGATCTTTGAACTCTTTGGTGAAAATTAGTCCTTAATTAGTTCTCAGATGTGACTCGAGTGATCAGGTCCCTTGACTGTCTCTTTTCTCTTGTTGATCCCGATCTTCGTTTGGTTTTCATGGTTGTGCATGGAGAGTGTTGGCTCCTCTGATCGGGTCATCTTGTTGTTGTTGGCTCGTCTCTTTGCGGATCTGCTTTGTCCTATGTGGAGCTTTTGTTGTCGACTGTGGCATTTTGTTTTGTTTGCAGCTGCTGGTTTTTTGTTCTTATGTTGTTTGCTGTTGTCATGTTCTTCCTTTCGTTAATTTCGGTATGACACCTTGTGATGCTCGTATGTACTTCAACTTGTGCACTTTTTTGTTTCCTTTTTCCTTGCTAATGCAGTTCACTTTTATAAAAGAAATAGCATGCACATCTCATTTTTGTTATCCGTTCTTATTTCATTCTGAAACACGTGCATGTTATTGCAGACTGGGAAGTGACATGTATGGCTCCGCAAAGCAAACTTGCAGAGCAAACCAAGGGATTCTGGAGGACAGATCACACTAAAACAGACAACCAAGGGATGTTTTGCATCCGACTGACGAAAGTCACCGAACTAATTTTTTCCTCTTTGGCTCAAATTTTGTTTCGGTGGATTCTCTTGGCAATTTCATACGTCACTTCACTTGGTTGAAACAATCACAACATTGAGGATGCTTTCACAGAATGACGGAGACACGATGATGTTTTATGGTGGAAGATAATGTTTGTGAGGGACTTGTTGGGCTGAATGTATGCGAGTGTATGAACATTAGATTTTGTTAATTGAAGTTGACTTTGCAGGCTGTTTTTGCAAATATTAGACGTACTTTTTTGACGGGTTTTACTTATATGCCAAGCTTGGATCTTTCTGACTGGTAGGTGTTTTGTGAATGGATAGCTACTGGTTTTATGTATTGCAAAGGCTTGAAATTTGTATTCTATGGTATACTCTCATCAATCGATCTAAACAAAAAGTTTTTCTTTCATATCCTTAAATTGATTCCCCGACAAGACCTTGTTCTAAGGTCTTGGCAACTCTTCTCCTTTTGTAGGTTCCCCTCTTAAATGTCCAATGCCATTTAGACCGGTGTACTTTCTCCATCAACAAACTCAATTGGTGGGATCATCATCAAACTTAGAGATACAAACATGAGTTGAGTTGTTGTCGGTCATGATTTTTTTTCTCGCACACACAGAAGCTCGATTTAAAGCAACCCCACTTGAAACTCTTGTGTTTATCAAGCTCGATTCAAAGCCATTAACTTGTAACTTATTTGATCGACAGATGAACCCCTTATTCGTAACTCGATTGAACGCCTGATTTACACCAATAGACACAACCCTTGCACGCCGGTCAAAACTCAAAAGTCTAAACAACAATCCTCTCTGGGCTGCCAACACTAAAGGCATCCAATAAACCCATTACCATCACGACGTTCTATTGGGTTGGGCCCAATCAGCAAAGCAGCACTCTGCTTGCTATGTTCTGCACTTCTGCTCAACACTTGCGTAAATCAACGAAGAGTGCTGTTTAGAATTAAACACTTCATGATTAACATCATACACGAAACTTAAAGACCACCTTATTCATAGGGATCTGCCAAGAACACTTCCTATCTACAAAGCTCAACTATTACATTACTACTTCCTGCCAAAGAAAACCCTTAATACATTGGCCATTTATTTAGCTACAACCACGATTACACATCCCAAAACCCACTCCCAACGATCTCCGCTAATCAGATCATTCCATCCCACTTCAATCAACTTCTTCAATCTTAGGACCAGCACCGCCGCCACTCGATGCATCACCACCGCCGTAGCCCCCGCCACCACCGCCGCCGCCCATTGGCACATCACCACCAGCGCCACCCTGATACATCTTAGCAATGATCGGATTGCAGAGCCCTTCCAGCTCCTTCAGCTTGTCCTCCAACTCCTCCACCTCCGCCAGCTGATTCCCATCAAGCCACTGCACCGTCTCCTCCACCGCCTTCTCGATCTTCTCCTTATCCGCCGAATCCAACTTCCCGGCAATCTTCTCATCCTTAATTGTATTCCTCATGTTATACGCGTAATTCTCCAACGAGTTCTTCGCCTCCACCTTCTTCTTCACTTCCTCATCCTCTGCTTTATACCTCTCTGCCTCCTGAACCATCCTCTCGATCTCGTCCTTGCTCAACCTCCCCTTGTCGTTCGTGATCGTGATCTTGTTCTTCACCCCCGCCGTCTTGTCCTCCGCCGACACGTTCAAGATCCCATTCGCGTCGATGTCGAAGACGACATTGATCTGAGGGACACCCCTCGGCGCCGGTGGAATTCCAGAGAGCTCGAATTTCCCTAGCAAGTTGTTGTCCTTCGTTCTCGCCCTTTCGCCTTCGTACACCTGAATCAAAACCCCGGGCTGATTATCAGAGTAGGTCGAGAAAACCTGCTCCTTCTTGGTCGGAACCGTCGTGTTCCTCGGAATCAACACCGTCATCACGCCGCCGGCGGTCTCGAGACCCAAGCTGAGAGGGGTGACATCAAGAAGAAGCAAATCCTGAACCTTCTCGTCTCCTTCCCCGGTCAGAATCGCCGCCTGAACCGCTGCTCCGTAAGCTACCGCCTCGTCAGGATTGATACTCTTGCAGAGCTCCTTCCCGTTGAAGAAGTCCTGAAGCAGCTGCTGGACTTTGGGAATCCTCGTCGAACCGCCGACCAGAACGACGTCGTCTATCTGCCCCTTGTCGATCTTGGCATCGCGGAGGCACTTCTCCACGGGCTCCATACACCTCCTGAACAAATCCATGTTCAATTCTTCAAACCGAGCTCTGGTAATGGTGGAGTAGAAATCGATCCCTTCGTAGAGGGAATCGATTTCGATTGTGGTTTGGGAAGTGGATGACAGAGTCCTCTTCGCCCTCTCGCAGGCGGTTCTCAGCCGCCTCAGAGCTCTGGCGTTGGTGCTGATATCCTTCTTGTTCTTCCGCTTGAACTCCGCCACAAAGTGACTCACCAGCCGGTTGTCGAAATCCTCACCTCCCAGATGCGTATCTCCGGCGGTGGCCTTCACTTCGAAGATCCCTTCCTCGATCGTCAGCAGGGAGACGTCGAACGTTCCCCCGCCGAGATCGAAGATGAGGACGTTCTTCTCGCCGCGACTCGACGCTTTCTTGTCGAGACCGTAAGCGATTGCGGCGGCGGTGGGCTCGTTGATGATTCGGAGGACGTTGAGACCGGCGATTGAGCCGGCGTCCTTCGTCGCCTGCCTCTGGGAGTCGTTGAAGTAAGCCGGAACCGTGACGACAGCGTTTTTGATGTTTTGACCCAAAAAGGCCTCGGCGATTTCCCTCATCTTGATTAGGACCATGGAGGAGATCTCCTCAGGGGCGAATTGCTTCTCCTCGCCCTTGTGCTGGACCACGATCATGGGCTTGTCGCCTGGGCCCGGGATGACCTTGAAGGGCCAGTGCTTCATGTCGGCCTGAACAGAGGGGTCGGAGAATTTGCGGCCGATGAGGCGCTTGGCGTCGAAGACGGTGTTGTGGGGGTTCATGGCGACCTGGTTCTTGGCGGCGTCGCCGATGAGGCGCTCGGTGTCGGTGAAGGCGACGTAGGAAGGGGTGGTGCGGTTGCCCTGGTCGTTGGCGATGATTTCGACCCTGTCGTTCTGCCATACTCCGACGCAGCTGTAGGTGGTGCCGAGGTCGATGCCGATTGCTTTGCCTTCTGTTTTCGTCGCCATTGACGGACGGAGGAGCTTCGATTCAACTAACTGAAAAGTAAGACCGAAAGCTTTTGACTGATGTTGCTGTATGTATGATGTTTAATTCCCTGAGGAGCGATTGTGAATTGTGATCGGCGGAGGTCGAGAAGGAGATATATAGGTGGAAAATTGAAGCGGTGGGGGGAAGAAATCTCGGGAAAGTGATGGAAGGAGCTTTTTCGGTGGGATTGAATTGAATTGAATGAGGTGGTTTCAGTCCGCCGAGTTGTTGGATGCTTCTGGAGAATTGAGGTGTTGGTTTGCTATTCCTTTTCAGTTTTCTCTCCAGAAACTTGTTTTTGTGTGTGTGTCGACTCTCGAGAAAATGAGAGCTGAACTCGTCGGCCAGAAAACCAGGGCCAACTTTGCACCAGAGACAACATTGGGCCGAACACTTAAGAATTAAAAATATTCATATTTTCAAAAGCCCAAACTGCATCCCGGTCGCGGGGTCTTGAATTGCTAATATTATAAGATGGGAAATTAGACAAAATCGTTTGAAAAAATGTGATTCGGATCGTAGGCTGTGAAGAGTGATTTTAGTTTTGTCCATGGTCTTATTATAACAGTTGATTTCTTGATCTGTTATTGTTTAGATCGCGATTTAGAAGTCCAAATTAAAACATGATTGCAACACTTCTCAATTAGTGTTAGCAGCTCAATTGATCAATCTATCAACTCATCAACGAAACTCAAGTCCCAACCCTTATTTTGAAAATCTCGCCCCCTTCTCAATTCATAAACCACACTTTGTCACATAGTAGAGATGAATGTGTCATCATATGACATTATGTTAATGGTTACGATATTATTGTGCAAGTTTGGTTGCTCATACTTTGTGTTTTCGTTATTTATTTGGATATATGGTATCATAATTATGCATGAGTATTGGAATTTGTGTTTTAAGGAAAAATAGATTTTTTCTCGATTATTCGTTCAATTTTATGTGTGATTGACTAAATAAACTGTTTATTTTTTGCTCAAGATAGTTTGCATGGTGCAGACCATACCGGACGAAAATGCACAAGCACAATACTTTTTGTGGTAGGGTAGGAAAAATAGGCCAGACCGTTAGAAAAGTCGTGGTCCAAATCATACCACACAGTTTGTTCTGAACCGTAGACCGTTAAGTATGGTCTGGTTTGATCCATGGTTTGTATTATTTTATCTTTTGATCTCTTGGTTTGGTTTGGTCTAGACCGTGGTTTACCGGAACAAACCGTGGACCCAACCGACTTGTCAATACGTGTTAACAGCCCATTCGACCACTCTCCCAACTCCCACAACGACACTCAAGTCTCAACGTTAGTTTTGTGAATCTCGTCCCTCCTTCATTCACAACCTCATTTAACCAGACAATAGAGATAATCGTGTCTCCACACGAATTATGTTCATACTTATGACGTTATGGTGCAAGTTGGGATGTTTTTACTTTGTCTCTTTGTAATTACTAAGATTTAGAGTATCAAAATTATTCATGCATGTTAGGATTAATATATTAAGGCAGATAAAAATTATTTTTCTTGGTTATTGGTTCAATTTTTGTGTGGTTGACTAAAGAAATTATTCATTTTTTGTTGAGTGTGGTCTATCTGGACCAGACCAGAGCGAACCAGACCTCACAGGCGTGGTCTGGACCGAACCGTATAGTCTGTGATCTGGTCTGTAGTCTATAATTTAGCCTCTCGGTCTGAATCATATACCGTATACATGATCTGGTCTGGACCACATCGCACCGTTTCCCAGTCCTATTTTGTGGTACACGTTCAATATCCTCACTACTCAAGCCATTCCATAAGGGAAAACATGCACTATTTTTCATTACCGGTTCAGCTTGCTTGTTTCTAATGATCAAGCAAAGTAGCCTTTCATTTGTTGCAGCAAAAGTTATTTAGCTTTTTTGGATGTTTGATCACTAACATTACTAATTTGTGTCATTTTCGCCACTAGAAAATTTTAACTGCATTAACGATCACTAACTTTGCATTCTTGTTTTTATCATTTATCACTCGCCGTCCATCTTCATTAAGTTATTTCTATGTGCTAGTTATGATGTGGTAGCTTCTCTCCCCTATGTATCTTTTCCTTCCTATTGGCTTCCGCAGAGATACCAGTCGACTTGTAAAAAATGAACCTTCCATGTACTCAATTTCCTCGGCTCTACATCTTCTCACGACTTGTGTGTTATAATTTGTTGGGTTCCTATTTAACTAAAATTTACTCTCTAAATTACACTAAATGGGTAAATTGCAAGTTTGGTCATTGGGATTATTAAAAACGTTCACGTTTGGTCACTAGAAATATTTAATTCCACTTGTGGTCACTAAAATTAGTTAAACAATTCAAGTTTGGTCACTCTCCGTTATCTTCCGTTAGTCTCCGTTAACGGTGTTAGTTTTTTGCTGACGTGGCTAACAAAAATGTATAGACACTTAATTTTAAACTGAAAAAATTAAAATCCAAACCCTCACGTCATAAAAACATGACATGTCATATAACCCCAATAACCCATGACCCACCCACTCAAATTAAAATCAAAATAATAATTCTAAAAACACTTAATTCCCTTGCTCTCCCGGTCACTCAACAGTCAACTCCACAGACCTTTCTTCCCCATCCTTCTTCTTCCAAAACCATTGCCACTGATCTTTCTCCGGTTGCTACTCCGGCGGCACCATTGACCACAAGCCCAAGAACTCCAACCCGCCGGGCAGCGACCTCCGATTCAAGATCTTGACCAGGTACCCGAAATCGTACGTGCACCCAGCTCACTGACTCAGCCACGAAGAGGAAGAAGCGGTTGTAGAATCCAGAGATCGTCCAATCATCGTCGGAAGATGAATCAACGCTAGGCTTGGGAAGAAGGAATGATTTCTTCCTCTTGAGTTTTCCTCCAATCAATTCAACAGGGCTATTTCTCTTATGCTCCCGAATCCCACATCAGCGTTAGATTGAAGAAAAGCAGGAGGACTGAATCCTCCATTCCCAAAATCCCAACAAAAAAACACCCTTCTCCTTCCGATTCAAACTCTCCCCGGCTAGCTCCGTCAAAAAACCCAACCCGTTAGTCTCCCCCAAGTTCATTCCCCTTTGGAATTTCATCCCCCGTCTCCCTCCATTTTAGAGTTTTACTGAAATTGACATTGTCCTTTTCAAATACCAACAATTATTCACCAAGTTGAGCGAATTTTGTGGGGGGTACTATATATGGTGAGCTTCCGTTGTCAGTTGCCACCGCCCACCGGGAGCAGATCTCGACGATAGCGGAGTAGTCAAACCCGGCGAATGAACAATCCGATTGGGGCATTTTTAGGTCGGCGGTCAAAAGAAAGGGTCAGGTAGCAGGTTAGGGTTATTGACATGTCGGGTCATGTTAATGACATGGCTTGTTAAATTTGGTTGATTTGTTCTGTTAGCCACGTCAGAAAAAACTGACGCCGTTAACGGAGACAGACGGAAGATAACGGAGAGTGACCGAACTTGAACGGTTTAACTAATTTTAGTGACCACCAATGAAATTAAATATTTCTAGTGACCAAACGTGAACATTTTTAATAATCATAGTGACCAACCTCGCAATATACCCTACACTAAATAGATGAGTTTTCACCTAAACCCAATGTAGTCAAAAGCGCATTTCTACGTAAAAGCGTTTTGGTGATCTAGAAGCATAAAACCGTAAGCTTTTAAGCTTTAAAGCGTAGCTTTTAACTACATTAGTTATAAAAACGGAGGTTATGCGTAGAAGCATTTTGGTGACTGATAGCATCGTATTTGCACGTGTTTTCACTCTGGTTTCCTGCCCATTTTGGCTCGAATTGATTGTTCCTTGGCCTATTTTACGCTAGGTTGTGTTCCTTTGTCACATTTCAGGTCCTAGCACATAAAGTGAAGCATAGGAGCAAGTTTCAAGTCAATCAGAGATCAATTGACGATTCGGGAGAAGAAACTCGGGTATGACCTGAAGAAGAATGGATTTATACCTCACTTTATGGACAAAGAATCATGCAAGCTTGTCATGAAAAGAAAGAGGACGAGACTACGAGCGTCTGGGTTCAAACGGCGACTGATTTGGAGTCCGGACGAGGGAGAAACGAAGCTTTGAACAGGAGCGGAGACAGAATTACGGGCAGCCCCTGCCAAATTACGGCCGTAATTGGCCAGGGCATGCCCGTAATTTATTGGCCGAGCCTTCTACCCAGAATTCCCTCGCGGTGATAAAATTACGGGCAAGACCCCAAGAATTACGGCCGTAATTCCCAAATTACTGGCGGTAATTGGGAAATTACGGGCGTATCTCCTCCTCCTGCAGCTTAAGTGAAACGTGCGTTTTGGTGTGAATTACGGGCAGGAAGTGATTACGGCCGTAATTCTGCCCGTAATTCGCCCAGAGTCGGGTTTTTGGAGGCAGATTCGAGCCAAGGAAGGGGAATTCGATTTTCTGGGCAAAAACAGAGTTTTAGAGAGAGAAAGAGCGAAGAACAAACCCTAGGAGCTATTTTGGAGTGGATTTCTCATCATTGAAGCCCAGATTGCATCCCTAGGAGTGAAGATTGACATCCCAGAGCAGATTTTCCTCATCTTTATGAGTATGACCACTCTGATTTCTGTTTTCCTTCTCTCTCTATGGAGTAGAACCTTTCTCTCACTTGGGTATGAAGAACCCTAGTTCCTTGTGTTAGGGATTTGATTGTAATGACTTGGGATGATATTACTGTTTGATTTTAATCGAATGACGCATGTTTAATGAATTGATTTGAGTCTGATCAGCTTGTCTCAATTTCTGCTTCAACCTGAGATAGATAGAATCTGATTAGGTTGTTAGAGCCTCTTCATTCGATAGTAGGAGATTGGCTATACGAGAGTTAGCCAGTTTACTGCTTTGTACTGGTGTTCTTGGCGCCAGTAGTGGAGTTCTGTGTTCATAGCCTCAGCTTTCTATCCCGGTGAAGATTAGTCGTCTGCCGGGTAGTTAGACT